ATGACAACGTTATGCTCTTCATGCCAATGTGTCAAATTCACAAATTAATTTTATTTTTAAACTATGATTTAATGAAGAACCCCGTCAGATCATGAATGTTTAATGTAGTAACTACTAGTAAAACAAGAAACGATATATTCAGATTGAACGTGACATCTATTTTTTGTTTTATATTTTAGATCATCTTATGTTAGATAAGATAGGTTCGCAACAACAATATGCTGGCAAAACCAAGGAAACTGCATTCCTAAATAGAACATTCAAATGGAACCATGGAGTGTTAAAAACTACCTTTCCACAAGAAAAGATCTTCGGTGGGGGTAAAACATTTTCAGAGATTATCGGTACAGAAAGAGATAATGCACAATGGAGTAAGTATAAATATTTATTTCCATGACTTTTACTTTTATCACCACCAAGGTTCTTTAGACGAAACCGTTTACCATTCAGTCCGATGTTCTGGCGTGGGTGAGAAAGGGGAGGAGAGTTTACATCAATAACACTGTGTATTGTTCATGCTTTAAAGATAATTATATATGTCAACTTACATTTGACAAAACCATTTGAACACCCATGTATCAGTTAACAAGAACTATTGTTTTTAAATAACTTGGAGAAGGAACTCAATGATCTCGTGCTGACTTTAATAACTTTAATCGAATCTATATCAATTCTGATATTGTAGCTGGAAAACGAGCGCCTTCGATATTGAAGACTGCTCGGACATTTGATTCAACTAAGCAAAAGAAAAATACTAAATCCGTATCATTTGCTGTCCTGGAATCATCTGATGAGGAAGGTAATGCTGCTGTTTTGATGTTGACCGATTTACAAAAATTTTACAGTTTCTGCTATATATTATATCTTCCGTCTTTTCACATTTTTTGAGTCGAGATTATAAACTGATAGCCTTCTCAGGATCTTTGTTATTGATATACCATTATGACTTTACACTAAATTGTAATGATTATTATCCTGCTGTTGTTATTCTATTATACAGCTTATGATTACTCTGAAGATGATACTGATTCAGACTATACAAACTCAGATCTTGATGATTCTGCCTCTCCAAGTGAAATAGAAGAGATCGAAGATGCCATCAAAGTAAAATCACTGATTAAATGGCTGATTAAAGTAGTATTCGCTGGATTACTCCTTGGATGTATTGGTAAGTATTTAGTAGTTGTCCCTCCAGAGAAAAACTGGGGCATAGAAAACAAGTCACTCTAGGCTTCTACTTCAAAATTTCAATTCTATAACCTTTAATCTATAGATAGCCTATAGATTCCCTTTTGTTTTCCTAAGATTTCGTCAGAGGTGATTCGTATGGACAATGTCACCATAACCAGTTCCAATACCAGTCTGCATGTCTAATGGTGGGGAGATGGTCACACATTTACAAAATCATGGGCTTGGCATTTATGCTTAGATCTTCCGCTAAGCAGACCAAAGTTTTGGTGTAGCCTCCTATTTTCACAATATCATTATTTGATGTATTTCAGTGTACTATGGAGTTTCTTACTACTTTCATGTGGAAGAAATCGTAGATAACAGCTACTGGGGTTGTTTTAAGAGAGCAATTCTCCCACAAGAGAAAGTGGTAGACACCTTTTGGGGATCCGTCAAGAGGGTTATCTTCCAACAACAACAAGTGGAAGATAACACCTTTTGGGGATCTTTCAAAAGATGTCTGTCACGACTTTGGTAAATTCCCCTTTTTCGCCTATTGGAAGCTCTTTGTGGGCGGCTTGAGTTCTTTGAGAATGGACATTAAATAGGATTAACTTCATGTGGCTAATGCTGATTATTTGGTATATCTATTACTCACAAATAGGCTAGTGACCCTACTGGTGAACATTTTGACTGTCAACTTTTTAGTTTCAATTCCTGAGTCCAAGGTCATAAACTTATTGAATTAGAGCTCCAATATGTGTTCAGGTGACAGGTGTTGGTAGAAAGGCAGGTTATTTCCAGAATGCCCGATGCCACTCTTCGTTTGGTTTGAGTTTCTTGAATTTAATGGAAATGTATGCATTGGCGGTTATATTTAAATTAAAGAGTAAAAACAATATTAAAATCTAGTAACAATCTTCAATCAGATATAACTATTACAAGGAAGCTTTTAAAGAAAGTACTTGTTTCTAATTTATAGGCAAGATTTTAAAACATTATTTCAGAAATACTTCTTTAAGGCACTTTACTACATACTCCATTGGTGGTATAGATGGGAAAATGATAATAACGCTGAGTGACGTCAGGCATTCTGGAAGGTTCAACATGCTCTATCCTGCTGTAAGGATCATCATAATGGAGCTCAAATTCATTAAATTTTTAATGTTGGAGTAAGTAAGGAATGTAATCTATTTACAAAACTGGTGTCCATCAGCAGTCATCAGCCTGTCTGTGTTTTAAAATATACCAAATTAGCATCATTCATAAGGGTGTCACAAAACCTGTTTAAATTGTAAAAATATTAACAATATTGCGATGCCTCATTTCGCATCAAAATCAAATTATTCAACTGTGGAATTAAGTACTGTTGATAGAATAAACCAGCTGGTACCCTCCCCAAACTATTCAGTAACAATACCATAAGCTGCTAGAGGAAGATATAATTCAAGTTTAAATTAAGCACACTACATGCGAGGATATTATTATATACAGCATAGCTGCTGTAGAATGTAATATAAACTGTACAGAATAAGTAATATAAAAGAATGGGATAATTGTAAGAATGGAAACAGTAGATTGTTTGTAATATAAACTGTACAGAATAAGTATTGTAAAAGAATGGGATAATTATATGAATGGAAACTGTAGATTGTTTGTTATATAAACTGTACAGAATAAGTATTATTAAAGAATGGGATAGTTATATGAATGGAAATAGTAGATTTTTTGTTATATAAGCTGTACAGAATAAGTCTTGTAAAAGAATGGGATAATTATATGAATGGAAACTGTAGATTGTTTGTTATATAAACTGTACAGAATAAGTAATATAAAAGAATGGGATAATTATATGAATGGAAACAGTAGATTGTTTGTAATATAAACTGTACAGAATAAGTAATATAAAAGAATGGGATAATTATATGAATGGAAACTGTAGATTGTTTGTCATATAAACTGTACAGAATAAGTCTTGTAAAAGAATGGGATAATTTTATGATTGGAAACTGTAGATTGTTTGTAATATAAACTGTACAGAATAAGTATTGTAAAAGAATGGGATAATTATATGAATGGAAACTGTAGATTGTTTGTTATGTAAAATGTACAGAATAAGTATTATAAAAGAATGGGATAATTATATGAATGGAAACTGTAGATTGTTATATAAAATGTACAGACAAAGTATTATAAAAGAATGGGATAATTATATAAATGGAAACAGTAGATTGTTTGTTATATAAAATGTACAGAATAAGTATTGTAAAAGAATGGGATAATTGTATGAATGGAAACAGTAGATTGTTTGTTATATAAAATGTACAGAATAAGTATTGTAAAAGAATGGGATAATTGTATGAATGGAAACAGTAGATTGTTTGTTATATAAAATGTACAGAATAAGTATTGTAAAAGAATGGGATAGTTATATGAATGGAAACAGTAGATTGTTTGTTATATAAACTGTACAGAATAAGTCTTGTAAAAGAATGGGGTAATTATATGAATGGAAACTGTAGATTGTTTGTTATATAAAATGTACAGAATAAGTATTATAAAAGAATGGGATAATTTTATGAATGGAAACTGTAGATTGTTTGTTATATAAAATGTACCGAATAAGTCTTGTAAAAGAATGGGATAATTATATGAATGGAAACTGTAGATTGTTTGTTATATAAAATGTACAGAATAAGTATTGTAAAAGAATGAGATAATTATATACATAGAAACATTAGATTGTTTGTTATATAAACTGTACAGAATAAGTATTGTAAAAGAATGGGATAATTGTATGAATGGAAACTGTAGATTATTTGTTATATAAAATGTACAGTATAAGTATTGTAAAAGAATGGAAACTGTAGATTGTTTGTTACATAAAATGTACAGTATAAGTATTGTAAAAGAATGGAAACTGTAGATTGTTTGTTACATAAAATGTACAGAATAAGTATTGTAAAAGAATGGGATAATTATATGAATGGAAACTGTAGATTGTTTGTTATATAAACTGTACAGAATAAGTATTGTAAAAGAATGGGATAATTTTATGAATGGAAACAGTAGATTGTTTGTTATATAAAATGTACAGTATAAGTATTGTAAAAGAATGGAAACTGTAGATTGTTTGTTACATAAAATGTACAAAATAAGTATTGTAAAAGAATGGGATAATTATATGAATGGAAACTGTAGATTGTTTGTTATATAAACTGTACAGAATAAGTATTGTAAAAGAATGGGATAATTATATGAATAGAAACAGTAGATTG